AAGGAAAACATTACTTATAATAATTTAATTAATGTTTTACTAAATTGATATGTAAAAAAATGTGCATAGTGTATTTTATTGACGGTGCTGGAATGCAGAGAAATAGAAGTCAAAACACTGTTTTCATATGGACGGGGTCCATTTTTTACATTTAGCCTCTTGCACCACTCCAAATGGTCTAATTGGGGTTTCCTACCGGTGAAGCACGTCCTTTGATTAGCCACGGACTCCGGGAGATATAATCAATTTTTTTTACCCCAGGGGGCGTCAGGGGGAGGGGGGTTTGGGGGGCCTGGGGTAAACTAGGATCAATCTCACTCCTTTGAGAATTGAACTCGGGAACTCCAATAAGGGAGAGTGAGTCGGTGACCAGCTGGACTGGACCGCTTCCTCATATAATCATATGGGATGGAACAATTATGGTTGCAATAGTTTGGGGACAGAGAGAATGGACCGACCTACTGTTTCGACGCAGATGAGATGCGCGACTAGTATAGGAATTGCAGATGACGAGATGAAGAACGAGGAGCGGATAAATCTAAGATTGGAGATGGAAGATGGGGGCCAAGTCTCTATGGATGAATTGATGGGCTCTTTAGTTGAGTGACACAAGGTAATTTGTTATTCTAATTGGAAAAAGGTGCCGTTTTGGGATTGGTATACCGTGCTCATGGTATACCGATCCCACGGTATAATTTGCCGTCATCAGTGCATTTTCATTAACTACCTAAAATAACATATGTATATCAATCCTATTATTTACATTTAGGATTTCTAACTTATTAAATGACATTTTCTATTTTCTTATAATGTAAAACATTACTCTACTAGATGTATAAATATTTCAGTAAAATCAATTAAATCAAATTTAATCAGTCCTTCTTAAAATTTTATATCTAATTGATGTAATTCTATACTCCTGTAATACATTAATAACATTAAAATAAGTTTATATAAGATTTAAAAATTAATGTATGCCTTTAAACAACTAAACAACACAACAATCACATTCGAAGGATTAAACAACTAAACTAGTATCAAAACATCAAAGGCAATTTGGTCAACACTCCATTAATTAAAAAAAAAGTGAGAGGTTTATATCCTTGATTGTGTGCGACTAACTTGTTGCCTCTTGAGGCTGGGGCGGGCCGGAGGATTTTGTGTTATAGCGGCAATCAACTTTTTTTTGTTGGGGGCAAGTACTGCTTTTAATATTTATAAATAAATTAAATGAATTGAGTGGGTCTTTAGTAGGTCTGTCCCTGCATTCTTATGTAATTTTCATGAAAGAATTACCTAACTAGTAATATAAGATAGTCAACGATCACAAATAACATTACATTATTTTAAATTCCCAAGTAGAACAAATATATACCCTGTATCTTTTGAATTGTTTTAATTCGTAATAAAATCGAAAAAAAATTGTAAAAAATAATAAAAAAATTAAAAACCTATTTATAAAACAAAAAAATTAAAACAAAATGTGATTTTTTTTAGAAAATATAAAAAATAAAAAATATATAAACGTAAAAAAACATTGTCAGCCTTTGCCACTCCAATACCACCAGCTCCGATCACCAGAGGAAAAATGCCAACATGCATGAGTAATGTCATATTTATTGCAGTTTCAATGAAAAATTTTGCATTATCAAGAGTAATGATATCATTTTTTAGCATTTTCAGAAAGTAAAGACCAGATATGGACGTACTCGACGAATTGACTCAATTGATTTAAAATTCTGCAAAAGAAATCTGGATATAGTAAACATAATGATTGAAGTTACAATTACAATTAAAGAAAGGGGTTTTTTCCAAAAAATTCCATAATAAATGCTATGAATTAAAATAGAAATAGTTAGATATATGTATATGACTAAGATAAACATTATTTACAAAATGTGAATAGTGACTACATACAGTAATGATGAAATCGTAGTAACTTATATTCAATTTTAAAGTTAATTTATCATGAAACTACATATATGGTAGTAATTATTAGTCATATTTGTATAAATAAGTTTTATTTTAGTAATGTTTTTAAAAAACCCACAAAATAGGATCTATTCCAAGTAATTTCAAAAAGGATAATTTTATTCACAACCACTTAATAGCTTACTAATCACACACACTTTTTTTTTTCATAATTCACCTAGTGCCCTTATAACTAAATACAGTTTCGACTCAGAATGTGTCAATCGGCTTTTGAAACTCCAACACCATATCTGTAGTTATGTCTTGAATCTTAGGGTATGTTTGGTTTAAGGAATGTCAGATTACAATGGCAATGTCAGATTGCTGTGGGTGTGTTAGATTGATGGGAATGTATTCAATTTATTCCTATTTGTATTTGGTTAACATTAAGAGAATGTATCATAATTTATTTTGTTGAAAGACATCTTATATTGCAAATATGTTGAATTAATTTTATGCCCTTTAAATATTTTCTCTTAACACAATAAATTTGTTACAACATACATCTAAAGTGATTAAAATTAAAGAAAAATTGAAATATCTTAATAATAAATTAAATCAAAACTAATTGAATTATTTTTAAGTACGGAGTAAAATATGTTTAATTGTAAAAAGTTGTAGATCCAATATAGAAATGAAAAAAAAAACTTTGTTCAAATAGTAATATAAATATATTTATTATCATCTCAAAAAAATAAAATTTAAAAAATTATCAGGTTATTCGTAAAACTTGTTTCAAATTTTAAAAAAAAAGACCACTTTCGCTATTAAATTTTGAAATCCACTCATTAAAATTTAAATAATCTATAACTCTTATAGCATAAATACCAATGGGAAAACTATCAAATAAATCCTCGTACTATACCGAAAAAGTCGATTAGGCCCTTGTACTTTACAAACACTCAATTAAGTCCTCGAACTATTAAAAAAACATTCAATTAAGCCCTTTCGGTCCGTAAGTAACCGGTTTTCCGGTTAAATGTAACCCGTTTCCCGACTGCCGCCGTTGTTGGGGTTCGAGCACATCGCCGCCGCCGTCGCCGTTTAACCGGGAAACCGGTTACTTACCGACCAAAAGGGCTTAATTGAACGTTTTTTAATAGTTCGAGGACTTAATTGAGTGTTTGTAAAGTACGAGGGCCTAATCGACTTTTTCGGCATAATACGGGGGCTTATTTGATAGTTTTCCCTAAAAAAATTAAATGTTAAGAAAAAAATATATGCAAATAACAAGAATAGACATTCAAATATAATTAATACTCCGTCCGCCCCACCTAAAAGGGACCGTGAAACTAACGGATCCCTGTCAATAATAAGATTTTTTTAGTAAATAAAGTTAACATGTTTCGAGACTACATTAAAAGTTTTATAAAGTCCCAAAAAATCATATTTGATAACAGTTGAGTATATAAAGAAATTAAATGAAAAGAGATAATTAATTAATTGAAGGTATTTTCGGAAGAAAATTATATCACCCCAGGAATGTGAGATAACCTAAGGCATGGATGAGTTTAACATTCCCCTCCATATTACATTCTCGGAAATGTAACTTTCCCGATTTTTTTTCAAAACCGTGAATCAAACAAGGGTATCTAACATTCCATGCATCACATTCCGGCCTTCATGTGAGATCACCCCCCACCAAACGGGCTCTTAATGTTCTAGAGAGAGGAAGAAAGCAGAAGGTGTTGATGAGCTACAATTTGTGCTTCATTTTTATATTACTTTATTGCAATTCGCTTATTATGTGCCTAATTGAGAGGTTGAGTCTTGCTTTTACTTTAAATCTTATTTTTATCAGATTAGACAGATGGAGATGCTAGTTGAGGTATTAAAGATCTTTTGGGTTGAATTAAGAGAAAATAGCATTCTTAATTTCAATTGGAGTTGCAATTTAGGGGCCGCCTGCACTTTTGGAAGAGTACAACTGCTCATCAATTTAGGGACGGACCAGTCTTTAGAAAAAGCCCATCAAAGGAGGATTACTCCTCTTAAACTCACACACCACCAACCCAATCCAGAAAAAAGAAAAGAACCTAAGGACAATAGGGTTTAATTAGACCTGTACAAACACGGGCCGACCCGTCCGGCCCGCCCAGCCCGCCCATATAAATGGGCGGGTCTGGACATGTATATTTGTCCACCGGCCCGGCCCGGCCTGAGCCCGATAAAAATGTGTGCGAGCATGGGTTCAATTATAGGCCCGTTCGGGCCAAAAAGCCCGGTCCGAAAAATATAATATATATATATATATATAATACATTATACATATAATATATTACACATGTAGCATGAAGAGGCAGTGGAATGAAGTACCTGAGTAACCTGACAAGTCAAGTTTTACTCCTGAGTCCTACTCTTGAAACTCTTGGGAGCTAAATCATTATTTGTGTTTTTGCGAAATAAATTTCAAGTGACTGTAATGAGTGACTTTTTAAGTCTTTCGGAGTGTTTGGACATTTTTGTTTCAATTTATGGTTTGACTTTAAATTAACGGTATTGTTTTGGATAAACGTTTTGCTCAAAGTAGTTAGTGTATGTCATGAAGGCAGATTAATGTCATTGAGCTTATTAATTGATTTTAAGATGTTGCGATTTATTTTAGAAATGCTATTAACTAATGCTAAATTTTCCTTGGCCCGGCGGCCCGATGGACTGCCCGGCCCGCTAGTATGGGCGGGTATGGACATGGGAGGAGGCCCGTTTGATCCGGGCCGGGTCGGGCCCGCCCATTGAAGTGGGTAGAAATTTTAGATAAAGTCCGGCCCGAGCCCGTATTTGTACAGGTCTAGGTTTAATGCACCAAACCCCTTCATGAAATAAAAATTCAGCGCATTAATCCCTTGATTTAAAAAATGCGTCAACTTGTGTTATAATTAATCATGCGCCAAACCTCCTTCAAGAACAAATTTAATTTCAAAAAAATGAAAAATGGTTAATTTCTTTTTTTGTATAATTTAGAAATTTTGACAAAATTACTTGCATATTCATTCATATTATTGAAAAAATTGACTCTTGGTCTGGTCAGTTAGAAACTTAGAACGACAGCAGTAGGGTGGGGGATTCAGGCAGGTTGGTAAAGAGAGCCGGGCTGCTTAGTCGCTCGCTCTCTGCGTAGAACGGAGGTCGAGAATCCTTTGTGCCAAAGAGGGAGCCTGATCGGAGATCAAAAATCCTTTCTGCCAACGGTATTCCTGAAGCTGCTGAGTCGCTCATAGCAGTCCGGACGAGAAGTTTGCTGATTTCCAGATTACTCTACGGCAGCAGCAATTCTGGTTTCAAGTTTCTGTTTACAGTCTCCGTATACAGTACTTCTACTTCTGAAATTTTCTTCTTAGAACTCTGAATCATTATTGCTACTCGGTATTTTTTATAGATGGCTGGAATAAATTGCTCTACTCTTGTTGTCTTATTTTATTTTTCTATGAGTAGCTAATTGTTTTCAAGTCCACGGATAAGAAGAAGTTGCTATGATTTAGTATTGATTGTGATTTTAGTTAGATCAATTGATTGAGTTTTATCCATTGTCCTTATACTTAATTTGTTGTGTTAACTTCTGGCCAATTTTAGCATGATTGATTAAGTTGCTTGAGTGAATTAGTAGAGTACATGTCATGCCTATTATTTCAAGCTCTTTTGGATAAAAGAATAGATAATTCAGCTCTCTTGTTAAGTTATCTATTAGGTTCTTAAATCGGGTTCCGCGGTTCTTTTGTGATTAATGGATTTTAACTATTGAATTAATAATTTCAATTGATTAATAGTTAAAGTACGTGACTTATTCTGGACGTCATACGAAATAGTCATATTTTTGCCTAGAACGAACCCTCAATTTTAATTGACTAACTAAATCACAAATACTAAAAATTAGTGACTGATTCATAATCTTGGACAATCCTTTATCTTGTTAAGTTCTCAATCGTATTTCCGTTAGTTGTTTAACCACTTTATTTTTATTTAATTTAAATTCTTTGCATTCATTTTAATTCAAGCTCAACATTTTCGGTTTCAAATCAACACATTCCCAAAACTCTGTTTTAGTTAACTTTAATTTCATTTTTGTTAATAGTTTTCCAATTACTTAGTTGCATTTTCCTTGTCGGTTCGATCCTTACTTGAGCACTGTACTATCGCGACTTGTGCACTAGGAGAACTTATAAATTGTCTATCAGGTGTTCTTCTAGCATCCATATAGGGATTAGAAATGTGGTAAAGACTACAATGACCCATATGTATTAAACTACGCAGATTTCATACATATAATTTCATATCATTGAATTGATTTTTTCATGTTTTTAGTTGGCATCTCAGATTTGATTTTGCATATGGCCATGTCTTCTCCTAGTTCTGGAGTTTTAATTCATCTTCTTTTTTGGCTTTAAATTTCAACTATGTCCGGACTTTTTGATGCGACAATTTCCTAGCATTAGGATTGTTGTAGTTTGCATTCTTTGCAACATTCCAGCACAGGGTTGCAGCATTTTGCAATTTTGCAGCAACCATGCCTTTTTAATTCTACGTACGTACTATTTTTACCCTGCCATACCTATATGTTTACGTACTACTCAAGTACTCATGTTGCCATCAAAATTTACATGAGGTTTTTCCGGGGAGATTTCAACAAATAGGAGTATAGGACCTAATCATACTGAATTTCCAAAATTAAGACTACAGATTAGCATAAGACTTAAGTACATCTGCTTTGACCAAATTGTCCTTCGCTTTAAATCCCTTTGCGCATCAAACAAACACCCCTCCTCCTCCTCCTCCTCCTCCTCCTCTTCTTCTTCTTAGGGAAAATGAAATTTTTAAAATTAACTTTTGTAGATGATCGGCAAATCGGGCCGCTCAAAAGTTGGTCCGAGCGGCTATTTTCTAGGGTGATTGTGATTTCTTTGGAAGAATGTTTGAAGTTCTATTACCATGCATTTTTTGGTTTATTTCCAATGTATGACGATAAGGCGATAGATCCGAAAATAGAATCCAACGAGGTTAGTACTTTACTTTATGCCTTATTCAATGAGTTTCATGCACAATATGACAACGTGCCCCCTCCCCCAACACAAGCATTTTCATATAAAGGAAAATCAATTTTTAAATCTGCATTTGACAATCTTATAAAAAAACTAAAACAACTCTCGCTACTGAACAAAGCTTAGTTAATGAGATTAATTTGTATTTAACTTATGACATTGATTTTGAAGAAGATGATGACTTTGACGTTCTAAAGTGGTGGAAAGAAAAAGAAAGAATGTTACCGTTTTAGCAAAGATGGCTAAGCAAGTGCTATCAATGCCGGTTTCAACAGTTGACGTGGAACAAGAATTTAGTTCGGCCGGCAACATCCTAACGGCATCTAGAACGAGATTGAGCGCAAACTCTCTTGAGACGCTTAATTATATGCAACCACGATTGGTTGAAGGCCGCACGTAGAACTCAAGAAACTAGTATTAGCCCCTCCCTAGACTTTATGGATGAATCAACCGAGGGTGGCTCTACCTACGCCGGAGATTCCGATTGATTAGTATTTTACAATTTATTATAAATTGTATTTCATGTTTGAATTTTTTCCTCAATTTGCAAATGTAATTTGTAAACTTGTAGTTCATATTTCAAATAAATATACGATTATATGTTCATTTTTTTTATATGTAACACTTCTCAAATAAATTTATTGGTTATAACTTACAATTAATTAATTTTCTAAAGGTTGTTTTTAAAGTAAAAATAACTTAACTAATAGCAGTTGAACTTTGTTTTTTAATAAGCATTTGTATAAATTAGTAGCAAAAAAAATTATAACTGAACCGGCCCGACAGGTGGCCCGAACCGTGGCTCGGGCGGGTGGACCGGCCCGAACTGGGACCGATCAAGACACGGGCTGGTCTCGGGCCTTCATCTACAAGTCTGAGGCCCGACCCGAACCCGAACTGGGCCCGACCCATGCCTACTTTAAAGGAACAAGTAACATATGGATTAAATTAGTCAACCAGGCTTGAGGTACACATTTTTGTACACACACTTACACACTCGTGTCTGTGAACTGTTTTGTTTTGTCTGCATACATACATAACTTATTTCACAGACACTTCAAATGCGTTGTCTGTATACAGACAAAAAAAACACACTTCACAGACACGAGTGTGTAAGTGTGTGTACAAAAAATGTGTAACAATAGTTTTTTCCTAAATCAGTACACTCAAGAAGAACTCTATATGTACTAAATACTCCCTCCGTCCCATTTATATTGTCCCGGAAGAGGGTGACACAGTTATTAAGAAAAGTATGTTTGTGTGGTTGATATTAATTGATAAAGTAAGAATAAAGTAATAATTATTTAGAGCCACACAAACTTTGTCAGATATGGTATGAGACAATTTAAGTGGTACTTCCCAAAAAGGTAAAATGAGACAATATAAAGGAGATGGCCGGGTTGAACCTCCTATATAAGGGGCTAACTGAACACTTTAAGTTAGTTGAAGGGTCTATATATAAGGGAGTACGAAGTACTCAAAAAGAAGAGAAAACAGTAACCGATTGTGTCAGCTCGCTGGTACGTGCATTGAATTTTAGCCGTCTGATCTTATGTTCAAGACGTCAAGTCCCAGCATGGGCAATTTTTTTGTACACGGAGTAATTAAGATTACACAAAAATTAAATGACACTGTATAAATAGTTAATGACGTGGACAATGTGACATGGCAAATTACATTACAAATTGGATGACAAAAATGAAAATAGGGAAATAAGGTTAAAAGTACTCTGGATTGGGAAATAAGTTTAAAAGTACTTTTGATTGGGAAATAAGTTTCAAAAGTACCCTTTCTCGGGAAAAAACTCAAATTTACAGAGTATTAGTTTTAAATTTTGAGTATCAAGTTTTTTTATTGGACACTGTTTATATATTAAGATAAAGATGGCCAACAACCCAACAATCAAACCTCCCACAACCCATATGTTTTTCTCACACACCACATAATCAATATAAATTACTCCAAATATGAGTAAAACTATGGCAAAAATTCAAAATAAGACTTACTGTGTTTGAATTCCAAAATAGGATCATATTACTCCTATTAAAAATATACATATTTTCGTTTCATTCTTATCTCTCCTTTAAATATGAGTAAAAGATAGTCAAAAGTCATCATTAAATGTTTAATTCATAATAAATTCGAAAAACTTTCAAAAAATCGTAAAAATATAAAAACAAATTAATAAAAAATAGTAAAAATCCATAATTTTTTTTTAAAAATATATGGATACGTATCCCACCGCCTGCACTGCCTCCCCGCACCACCACCTCCGACCGATGTACAAATGTCATTTTTTCTAAAAACTGCCAATTATCCCCCTGAAAATGCAAAAAAAAAATGGCATATTACTCTTTGAGAATGCCAACATTTTCATTGTTTCTGCCATAAATATGGGGTGTGGTAGGAGGACCATCCTGCAATGCAGCTGACCTATGCGGGCTGCCAGTATTAGAAAGTCCTACAGGATCTGCTCTGTGGAATCAGTATGACAGTACCTATGAGGTTGACTGTGATCAGATCCTGATTTAACTGTCTAGGGGCTTTGGGGCAGCGCCGGTCCTGACTAATTATGGGCCCGGGGCAAAAGACAAAAAACAGGCCCTACAGATGTTAGTGCCGGTGAGCGCTTGCAATATATGATCCCCTACAAAAAGCTCGTGATTAAAAAGAGAAAATGCAAAATAGCAATCGGCCAATTGTATGGAAAGATTTAAAGATATAAATAAATTTCGAATTTATATCATTAATTAAAAACCATTTTCTAAGTAATATACTAGATACAAGTAAACCCAGAGAGAAAAGGATGCTAAAATATGAAAAAGACAGAAGCTATCCGCCATCGGCTTAGTACTACAAGTAAACCCAGAAAGTAATATACTAAATAATTAAAATTATAAATTAAAGTAGTCAATTTACATAATTAGTAAATGCCTGTGGGCACTGTGCGGCAGTGCTTGTCCTCGTCTGATGGTTGAATCCTTTGATAGGCCTAGAGAGGATTAGAGGAAAAGGCAAAAATTAAGAATTTGAGAATTGAGAATTTAAGATTTGAGAGCAGAGAACAACGAAGGCTGACGGTTGAATCAATTAAGCAAAGCGTGTAGTTGATTATAAGAGACCGAAGAGATTCATATGATTTGTACCAGGGAGGCGGAAAAATTGAGTATCTAACGTTTGGGAACTGAATCCAGAATTGGTTAGGATTGGTATTAATGTTTAGTTTTCGATTTTTGTGAGGGAGTTCGAAAGTCTTCCTCTCGCATGTGACTATGTGAGCCTTGGCTCAATCTAGAACTACGAAATAGAGATTGATATCTTACCGTGTCACGCCCCAGACCGCAATCCAAGCGCGTGTACAACCGCCGTGAAATCAAGTGATGTCACCCGCGAGTCAACCTCACTTGATTACACAAGGCGTTCGAGAAAAATAATCCATCCATACTCAGTAGTAAACATACATAACAACATCACATTTAAACCAATGAATAGCGGAAATATTCAACGGTAAGTCATAAGCCACAACCGGCCAATAACATGGGCATGCAAGCCCCAAAAGAATAGTTTATAGCAAATAAAAATATCCATGAGCAATGGTTGGTAATTTGAAATAAAATGAGGAAGCACGAACCACGTCTTCCTTGATTTGATGTCACCCGTAGGAAGGTGCAGGTGGCAAGCCCTAGCTTCAACCTGAGAATGGTGGGCCCCCCCGAAGGGGTCAGTACAAGTACCGAGCGAGTAGCAGGCTAAATATAGAATAACTAGCGTTTCAAGTATAAGACCCAAACATAGGATGATACATATACGTATAGTCCTTCCCCCAAGTTTGAAATACATATTAGTATACATACACTTGGAAATACCCGACCCGTAGGTCATTGTTTATTTGGGAAAATAATAGTAGCCAATATCCTTGACTTAAATCCCAACCCACCCATATACCTATGAGTGTATAGAACTCCTCCTTGTTCAAATAAATTATCGTAAGGACACCGTCCGGTCCTAGATCATTAAATGTAGCCTATGAGTTTTGAGGATACACGCCCGATCCTTGGGTACTCCACCCTATAACCGAGTTTTGAGGATAACCGCCCGATCCTTGGGTACTCCACCCTATATAACCGAGTTTTGAGGATAACCGCCCGATCCTTGGGTACTCCACCCTATATAACCGAGTTTTGAGGATAACCGCCCGATCCTTGGGTACTCCACCCTATATAACCGAGTTTTGAGGATAACCGCCCGATCCTTGGGTACTCCACCCTATATAACCGAGTTTTGAGGATAACCGCCCGATCCTTGGGTACTCCACCCTATATAACCGAGTTTTGAGGATAACCGCCCGATCCTTGGGTACTCCACCCTATATAACCGAGTTTTGAGGATAACCGCCCGATCCTTGGGTACTCCACCCTATATAACCGAGTTTTGAGGATAACCGCCCGATCCTTGGGTACTCCACCCTATATAACCGAGTTTTGAGGATAACCGCCCGATCCTTGGGTACTCCACCCTATATAACCGAGTTTTGAGGATAACCGCCCGATCCTTCGGTACTCCACCCTATATAACCGAGTTTTGAGGATAACCGCCCGATCCTTGGGTACTCCACCCTATATAACTGAGTTTTGAGGATAACCGCCCGATCCTTGGGTACTCCACCCGACCTATGACTTACCACATATCACACTAGATAGGGTCTATATCATATTTAGCCAATCATAACTAATCCAATACATAAAACTTATGTATCACATTCCATGCAAAGCCATACAATTATGTAGATGTACAATTAATTAATATCGACCGGTATTAATTAATCCATTATCCACCGGTCAACGTGGTCGTTGACCGCCATTTCAAACCTTGTACAAATCAACTTAATCATCGCATAATTAAGTTAAAATATTCATTTGTGCTTCTAATACACTTCAAGCAAATATGCATTTTATATAATTCTTCATATCATATTCTATGCATAAACAATCTATTTCTTTCATACAAACTTAACTATGTTGGGTAATCACATGTTTAAATATCTTTTAAACATCATTATGCACACATATAACATTTATTTAGGTAATCTCATAATTGACCCAAAAGTTATAAGATATTAAGCCGTCCACTCACCTTGAACTAGCGTATGAAGTTCTACCCTTCTTGGTTGAACTCCGGTGAAACTCCGGCGACTTTTGGTCAACTCCGGCGAAAACTCCGGCGACTTTTCCAACTTTGTGAAATCACTTGAGATACCCTTTACAAGTGCCTAACAAGGTTTTAACATCATAAAACCTTAATCAATACAAATAACCTATAAAAGGTTATTTTCCGGTGAACCGGTCGTTTTGGCTTCTAAGTCCGTTCTTGGACATAGAATCACTTTCCAACCCATTAATCCATACTTATAGCATGTAGAACCATACTAGGGGTCCTTCACATGATATATACCTCATATGGTAGAAGAAAAATAAAGGAGAAGTTATAATAAGGTCATTACCTTAATTATTCACACTTTTCCCAACTTTTTCCCTCTTTAATCTTCCTTCTTGGAACCCTATGGCTTGAGCTCGAATTTTGGATATGGAAGATGAGTTTGCAGAGGTCTCCTTGTTCTCTTGGTGTGCCTTGGCCGAAATTATGGGGTGGGTGAGTGAGGAGATAGCCTCTTTGGCTTTTCTCTCAAAATAATGTGGGAATGGGTCCTCCCCATTGTACTTTTGATGCCAAATGCATCTCCTCCTCATTTCCTCTTGTCAACCCAGCTCTCAATTGATGTGTTTAGCACATAAAAACGTGGGGTGGCCCCCACTCATGTGGGAGGTCATCCCTTTGTGTCCCGATGTGTACAATCGGTCCCGAAAGTTGTATTTTTCGGACTGTTTTAAATATATTTTATTTTATCAGGTCAAATAAAATATATTATGTGCTCTTACTCATTATGACATGTATAATGAATATACATTCCCCAACTTTAATTTATAAACCTCCGAAATTCATTTCCGGGCTGTTATCTGTTAAATTGTCGGTACCGGTAATTGGGCCTCTTTTTCCCAATCGGTCAACTCTGCGCCTTTTCACGACCCAAATAAAATATCCACCACTATGTAAATATTATCTTGACCAAGATGAATAAAATGTGTGGTCTCGGGAGTGTCGGGCGGCCCCCGCTCCGGGTGTGGGTCCCACGTGCAATTTACTATTCACGCGAAAGAAATAATAAAAAATTTACAACCTCGTAAATTCATTAATCCTTTAATAAGGTTCAATACATTATTTACATAAAAGTAAATATATTTGGGGACGGTGTTACAAGTTCACCCCCCCTTATTTGGGATTTCGTCCCCGAAATCCAAGTATCTAATCGAAAAGAAATGGGTATTGCTCCCTCATTGAGATCTCGGTCTCCCAAGTTTCTTCTTCGACTCGATCACTCCTCCAAAGAACCTTTACCATAGGAATCTCCTTATTCCTAAGCTTCTTCACTTGTTGACCAACAATCTTCACTGGTTCCACCGCATATTGCAAGTCCTCACGGATCTCTACCGGTGGTCTCTCAAGAATATGAGATGGGTCTCGTATGTACTTCTTGAGCATTGATACATGAAACACGTCATGTATCTTCTCAAGTTCAGGCGTCAACTTGAGACGGTAAGCCACGGCCCCTATTCTTTCAAGGATTTCAAATGGACCGATGTATCGGGGATTAAGCTTTCCCCTTGATACAAATCGAATGATGCCCTTCCAAGGAGAAATCCTTAGGAAGACCTCATCACCGACTTCGAACTCTAACGGTCTCCGCCGTTTATCAGCATAACTTTTCTGTCGGTCCTGAGCGGTCTTCAGTCTGTCCCGAATGATCCTCACCTTGGCCTTGGTGATCTCAACCAGCTCTATCCCTACGAGTTTGGCCTCGCCAACCTCGTCCCAACACAACGGTGTTCTGCATTTCCTCCCATACAATGCCTCATATGGGGGCATGCCGATACTTGCCCGATAACTGTTGTTATAGGCAAACTCCATTAGGGCCAAATGCTTGTCCCAACTTCCTTGGAACTCCAGCGCACATGCCCTAAGCATGTCTTCCAAAATCTGTATCACCCGTTCAGACTGTCCATCCGTCTGTGGGTGAAAAGCTGTGCTAAACTTCAGTTTAGTACCCAACGATGCTTGAAACTTTGGCCAAAATCGGGATGTGAATCGTGGATCCCTATCCGAGACAATGGATATTGGGACTCCATGCAATCTCACAATCTCCTCTGTGTAGAGCTTGGCCAATCTTTCAAGAGGATAAGTAATGTTGATAGGCAGAAAGTGTGCACTCTTGGTGAGCCTATCAACCACTACCCGTACTGCGTCATAGTTGTTCACTGTTCGTGGTAGCCCCACCACGAAGTCCATGGTCACGTGCTCCCACTTCCACTCTGGGATGGTGAGTGGTTGCAAAAGCCCTGCCGGGTGCTGATGTTCTGCCTTAACTTGCTGGCAAGTAAGGCATCGACTCACATACTCTGCGATGTCTCTCTTCATACCTGACCACCAGTAACTTTCCTTCAAATCTCGGTACATCTTAGTACCTCCTGGATGCATAGCATAAGCTGAAGAATGAGCCTCCTCAAGTATAGACTTCTGGAGTTCCTCATTCTTTGGTATGCATACACGATCCTTAAACAATAATAGACCGTCATCACGTACTCGGAAGTTCTCAACGGGCCCCGCAAGGATCCTTTCACGGATCTTCTGACATTCCTCATCCATGGCCTGACTTCGACTAATCTCGCCCAATAGGGTGGGCCTAACCTCGAATCGAGCAATGAGAGCCCCACACATGGACACCTCCACGCGTGCCCTCAATGCCTGTAGACATGTGAGTAGCGTCCCTGTCGTATTCTTCCTGCTCAGTGCGTCGGCCACGACATTGGCCTTTCCGGGATGATAGTCGATGATCAAGTCATAGTCCTTGATCAACTCCATCCATCTCCTCTGCCTCATATTCAACTCTTTCTGAGTGAATACGTACTTCAAGCTCTTATGGTTTGTAAAAATGTGACATGTCTCCCCGTAGAGATAATGCCTCCAGATTTTCAGTGCAAACACTACCGCCCCTAATTCTAGATCATGGGTAGGGTAGTTCACCTCGTGCTTTCTTTATTGCCTTGAAGCATAGGCAATCACTTTACCGTTTTGCATCAGTACACATCCAAGCCCTTGGATGCTAGCATCACTGTAGATATCATACCATATCCCCTGTATGGGTAGGGCTAGGACTGGTGCTTCGGTAAGTCGTTTCTTCAGTTCAAGGAACCCTTTCTCACACTTGTCGTCCCATATAAACTTGGCCCCTTTCTTTGTGAGCTTCGTTAATGGGGACGCCAATACGGAGAATTTCTCAACAAATTTACGATAGTATCCCGCTAGGCCAAGGAAACTACGTATCTCTTTCACATTCTTGGGTCTCTCCCAATCCATGATAGCTTTTATCTTGGCGTTATCCACAGCAACGCCCGAACCAGATATGACATGACCGAGGAAACCAATCTCCTTGAGCCAAAATTCGCATTTAGAGAACTTGGCAAAGAGTTGCTTTTCCCTTAGCCGATCAAGTATAAGCCCCAAATGATGTTCGTGCTCCTCCTCGCTCTTGGAGTATATTAAGATATCGTCAATGAATACTATCACAAATTGGTCTAAGTATTCACTAAACACACGGTTCATCAAGTCCATGAATGTCGCCGGTGCGTTGGTTAAACCAAACGACATCACCGGGAATTCATAATGACCATATATAGTGCGAAATGCACTCTTAGGTATGTCACTCTCCTTGATCTTCAACTGATGATACCCCGACCTCAAGTCAATCTTCGAGAACACTATTGCTCCTCGAAGTTGATCGAACAAGTCATCAATCCTCGGTAAGGGATACCTGTTCTTGATGGTGACCTTGTCCAACTGTCGGTAGTCGATACACATTCTTAATGTACCATCTTTCTTCTTTACGAATAGTACGGGTGCTCCCCACAGTGAATGACTGGGTCAGATGAACCCGTTGTCCAATAGTTCTTGTAGTTGGACCTTCAACTCTTGAAGTTCGGCCGGTGCCATTCGATAAGGAGGAATCGAATTGGGTTTGGTCCCCGGCTCCACTTCGATTACAAATTGAATCTCTCTATCGGGTGGAAGCCCCGGTAGGTCCTTGGGAAAGACGTCCGGGTACTTGCACACGACTCGAACATCCTTGATGTCGACTTCTTTCTTCGTATCATCTACCACGTAAGCAAGGTATGCGTGACATCCCTTCCTCATCATCTTCCGTGCTCTCATCACGGATATGATACAAGCATTAGATTTCCCCCGATCTCCTTCGAAACATAGCGTGTTTCCTTGATCATCCTCGAGCTCCAACACCTTGGTGTAACAATCTACTCGAGCATGGTGTTTCTCGAGCCAATCCATTCCTAGGATTGCATCGAACTCCAACATGCTCAGAGGTACGAAATCACAAGTCAAAGGTTGACCCGTCACTTCTACCTCACACGAGGGATAGTAATGATCTCTCTCCACGTCGTCTCTTAACGGTGTGGAGACTAGCAACGCTTGCGTCATAGGTGTCAATGGCACGCCAAGGCCCTCGGCGAACGCCTCACTCACGAATGAGCGTTGTGCCCCGGTATCGATGAGGATCCTCGCACACCTACCATTGATCTTTAATGTTCCTACATTTATACACCATGTAAGATACATTTTCTAGTGTTTTTACACATCTTTAGGAGGTTATTAAGTTAATACTAATGTTTGGAAACAAACGGGGGTCCAAACGTAGAAGAACGGGGCGAAAAAATCAACTTTCGGGTGTTGGGGGTCCACGCACGGCGTGCCTGGGTGGCACGCACGGCCGTGCGTGCAACAATCTCACCCTGCTTGCCACTGCCCGGCCAGGCACGATGCCAGGCACGGCGTGCCTTCGGCCGTGCCTGGCCAAAAATTCCTTCGGACACACTGCCTTCCAGGCACGACGCCAGACACGGCGTGCCTGCGGCCGTGCCTGGCCCAATTTTTTTTTTTTCTTCTTCTTCGGGTGCCACTGCCTTCCAGGCACGATGCCAGGCACGGCGTGCCTGCGGGCGTGCCTGGCCAGCAGTGGCTGTTTCCAGCCCGATTCGGCCTAACTCACCCGGTTTGACCCCGGGGTGGCCCGCACTCAATCCCAACGACGTATATGACCAAAGTAAGCCTAGAAATACATGGGAATACGTGTTTACCTGCAACGGAGTCCGGGTTTGCTCTCGCATCCGCCTCGGTCATTGCGTAGACCCTTGCTTGGGCCCCGCCTTGATTGACGGACGTAGCGTTGCTCATCGTTGGTTCCGTATGGTTTCCTTCCACGGTGAGCCCTTCCTCGGCTTGCAATGTCTCTCGTTGCCTCCTCCATGGGCAACTTAATTTCATATGGGTTGTGCTCCCACATTTGTAGCACATCGGGGGCTCGTTGCACTTTCCAAAATGTTTCTTAGAGCAATTAAAACATTTGGATGGTCTTAAGGAGTAAGGAAAGGACGTGTGCCACTTTGAGTTCCTTTTCTTTTTCACCGGTGATGCCGGTGCCGTAAGAGTGCTTTCTCCTCCTTGGTCGTTTGCCCAAGGATGGGTTTGGCTGACAGTCATATCACGTTGGGAGGTGGCCCGATCTCGCCTCGCCTGACGCCTACGTTCGTTCCTCCTGGTGTTCATGTTACACATCGAGCCCACTTGATTAGCGTTTGCCGCTTGGCGGCCCTCACGGCCCCCATGGCCTATTCCTCTCCCCGTAAAGGCTCGTGACACAGCCCGGCTAGCCTCAAGGTAAGCTACCGACGCTTGTCCCTTAGGGTCATTTCTTGTTGCCATTCGCTTACCCTCCATTTCTGAAACGGAATTTGGACGAGTCTTTAGACTCCTATGAATGTCAATTGACAGAAAAACGTTATAGACACGTATCGACCCAAGTCACCACCATACCAATTGTTAAGGGTACCGTCTTAACAATTAGAGGCCTTGCAACTTAAGCACCAATAGTCCTATAAACGTTAAAATACAATGCTCATGGTTTTCGGTAAGAACTCTTTTGTAAAATCTTTTGTGAGAGGTTGATTATATAGTTTAGAACTGAGATGGCTCTGATACCACTTAATTGTCACGCCCCAGACCGCAATCCAAGCGCGTGTACAACCGCCGTGAAATCAAGTGATGTCACCCGCGAGTCAACCTCACTTGATTACACAAGGCGTTCGAGAAAAATAATCCATCCATACTCAGTAGTAAACATACATAACAACATCACATTTAAACCAATGAATAGCGGAAATATTCAACGGTAAGTCATAAGCCACAACCGGCCAATAACATGGGCATGCAAGCCCCAAAAGAATAGTTTATAGCAAATAAAAATATCCATGAGCAATGGTTGGTAATTTGAAATAAAATGAGGAAGCACGAACCACGTCTTCCTTGATTTGATGTCACCCGTAGGAAGGTGCAGGTGGCAAGCCCTAGCTTCAACCTGAGAATGGTGGGGCCCCCGAAGGGGTCAGTACAAGTACCGAGCGAGTAGCAGGCTAAATATAGAATAACTAGCGTTTCAAGTATAAGACCCAAACATAGGATGATACATATACGTATAGTCCTTCCCCCAAGTTTGAAATACATATTAGTATACATACACTTGGAAATACCCGACCCGTAGGTCATTGTTTATTTGGGAAAATAATAGTAGCCAATATCCTTGACTTAAATCCCAACCCACCCATATACCTATGAGTGTATAGAACTCCTCCTTGTTCAAATAAATTATCGTAAGGACACCGTCCGGTCCTAGATCATTAAATGTAGCCTATGAGTTTTGAGGATACACGCCCGATCCTTGGGTACTCCACCCTATAACCGAGTTTTGAGGATAACCGCCCGATCCTTGGGTACTCCACCCTATATAACCGAGTTTTGAGGATAACCGCCCGATCCTTGGGTACTCCACCCTATATAACCGAGTTTTGAGGATAACCGCCCGATCCTTGGGTACTCCACCCTATATAACCGAGTTTTGAGGATAACCGCCCGATCCTTGGGTACTCCACCCTATATAACCGAGTTTTGAGGATAACCGCCCGATCCTTGGGTACTCCACCCTATATAACCGAGTTTTGAGGATAACCGCCCGATCCTTGGGTACTCCACCCTATATAACCGAGTTTTGAGGATAACCGCCCGATCCTTGGGTACTCCACCCTATATAACCGAGTTTTGAGGATAACCGCCCGATCCTTGGGTACTCCACCCTATATAACCGAGTTTTGAGGATAACCGCCCGATCCTTGGGTACTCCACCCTATATAACCGAGTTTTGAGGATAACCGCCCGATCCTTCGGTACTCCACCCTATATAACCGAGTTTTGAGGATAACCGCCCGATCCTTGGGTACTCCACCCTATATAACTGAGTTTTGAGGATAACCGCCCGATCCTTGGGTACTCCACCCGACCTATGACTTACCACATATCACACTAGATAGGGTCTATATCATATTTAGCCAATCATAACTAATCCAATACATAAAACTTATGTATCACATTCCATGCAAAGCCATACAATTATGTAGATGTACAATTAATTAATATCGACCGGTATTAATTAATCCATTATCCACCGGTCAACGTGGTCGTTGACCGCCATTTCAAACCTTGTACAAATCAACTTAATCATCGCATAATTAAGTTAAAATATTCATTTGTGCTTCTAATACACTTCAAGCAAATATGCATTTTATATAATTCTTCATATCATATTCTATGCATAAACAATCTATTTCTTTCATACAAACTTAACTATGTTGGGTAATCACATGTTTAAATATCTTTTAAACATCATTATGCACACATATAACATTTATTTAGGTAATCTCATAATTGACCCAAAAGTTATAAGATATTAAGCCGTCCACTCACCTTGAACTAGCGTATGAAGTTCTACCCTTCTTGGTTGAACTCCGGTGAAACTCCGGCGACTTTTGGTCAACTCCGGCGAAAACTCCGGCGACTTTTCCAACTTTGTGAAATCACTTGAGATACCCTTTACAAGTGCCTAACAAGGTTTTAACATCATAAAACCTTAATCAATACAAATAACCTATAAAAGGTTATTTTCCGGTGAACCGGTCGTTTTGGCTTCTAAGTCCGTTCTTGGACATAGAATCACTTTCCAACCCATTAATCCATACTTATAGCATGTAGAACCATACTAGGGGTCCTTCACATGATATATACCTCATATGGTAGAAGAAAAATAAAGGAGAAGTTATAATAAGGTCATTACCTTAATTATTCACACTTTTCCCAACTTTTTCCCTCTTTAATCTTCCTTCTTGGAACCCTATGGCTTGAGCTCGAATTTTGGCTATGGAAGATGAGTTTGCAGAGGTCTCCTTGTTCTCTTGGTGTGCCTTGGCCGAAATTATGGGGTGGGTGAGTGAGGAGATAGCCTCTTTGGCTTTTCTCTCAAAATAATGTGGGAATGGGTCCTCCCCATTGTACTTTTGATGCCAAATGCATCTCCTCCTCATTTCCTCTTGTCAACCCAGCTCTCAATTGATGTGTTTAGCACATAAAAACGTGGGGTGGCCCCCACTCATGTGGGAGGTCATCCCTTTGTGTCCCGATGTGTACAATCGGTCCCGAAAGTTGTATTTTTCGGACTGTTTTAAATATATTTTATTTTATCAGGTCAAATAAAATATATTATGTGCTCTTACTCATTATGACATGTATAATGAATATACATTCCCCAACTTTAATTTATAAACCTCCGAAATTCATTTCCGGGCTGTTATCTGTTAAATTGTCGGTACCGGTAATTGGGCCTCTTTTTCCCAATCGGTCAACTCTGCGCCTTTTCACGACCCAAATAAAATATCCACCACTATGTAAATATTATCTTGACCAAGATGAATAAAATGTGTGGTCTCGGGAGTGTCGGGCGGCCCCCGCTCCGGGTGTGGGTCCCACGTGCAATTTACTATTCACGCGAAAGAAATAATAAAAAATTTACAACCTCGTAAATTCATTAATCCTTTAATAAGGTTCAATACATTATTTACATAAAAGTAAATATATTTGGGGACGGTGTTACATACCGTATACGACTATACGGAGTACTATTAATTTAGATATTTAGTATTATTAATTTATATATATATATATATATATATAATAACTACTATAAAATCTATGGGCCCCTTTTTCCTGGTGGGCCCTGGGCAGCAGCCCAGCCTGCCCCTATACCAGGACCGGCCCTGCTTTGGGGTAGTTCATAGACTCCAGGTCTCCATGATTAGAGGAACGCAAGCAAACACTTAAGGGAATCATAAAAAAAACAAAAACAATAAAAAAAACAAAAAGCAAAACAAACTGTCTTAGGAATCCGTCTGCCACAAACTATCCGCATCTATGTATGATGGCGCACCAAACCCTTTATAGCGTAGGTACTTCCACTCTGTATTGAGTATCAAGTTTTCATTAAATTGATATCATTCCAATAGCTTCTTCAAAAAAAATATTTTTCCAATAACAAAATTCTGCTAAATTAAATTATTCATTTCTAGATGGATGCAAATTTTGGATAACAAAGAAGCTCTTAGATTCCACCAATAGCAGGGTCTGTTGTACTTTGAGCATCTTGGTACTTTAGCTTTTATGTTTCAATGTTTCATCCTTGCCTTCTATTATTAACATTTTTGACTTTAATGAGTTTCAACTTTATGCTCCTAATTTTGTAAGTGTCATAGTGATACTATCAAATCAAATTGAGAGTATATTATACTTGACCGTAATGTCACTATGGGGTGTTTGGAACTGATTCTGTTTCTGCTTGTTTTTTAAAGCAGAAGCGGAATCGGAATCAGTTTTCAGAAGATGGTCACTCCCAGCTTCTAAAAAAACTGATTCAAGGAGTAAATTAGAGCACCAGAATCACTTCTGCATTTCCACCCAAACACTCCAGCTTCTGCTTCTGCTCCTTCAGAGAGCAGAAGCAGTTTTAAAAATCAGATCCAAACATCCCTATATATGGATACTCTAACAAAACGTTTCTTCGTACAAATTAAAAATTTAAAATTTATGTAGTACGGAGCAATAAAAAGAGATACTTCCGGCCTATATGATTATACGTAGTATATATGATCGTGAGGCGATGATATATACGTAGTACTATGTATGTTAAGGTTATATTTCATTTATGAATATAACGTCCAAATGTGATTCTGGTTTAGGAACATCCGATCCAAAACAACTTTAATAAATTAAAGCAGTGAAAAACAAAAAACAGAAAAAACAAAGCCTAAAAAAAGTTCCTAATAACCCACATTATATACACAAAACGTACTATATTAAAAAGGGAAGTGGATAGTATGGGTCCCACTGATCCCTATCCGTATTCTGATATGGCAATGCCCACAAGTCACCACACTATCCAGATGTGAATCTATGGGGCAGTTCTTGCAAAAGCAGTTAACATCTTCTCTTTTATAACCTCTTTCTCCTTTGGATTATCCAATTACATTAATGATTTGTCCTCCTTCCCCAACCCTACTCTTCAAATCACTTTTGTTTTCGAAGAAATCTGATTATAGGTGGTAACTTAGTTGTTCTGTTAGTTTGGATCTTGGCTCTTGAAATAACACCTAGATATGTTCCATAGAAATGCAACAATCATAAGGAAACGCAAAACACAAAACGTTGCCGTTAAAGTATTTCTACCACCCCGGAGCGCTATAAAACAATAAAACCTTATATAAGTCTCAAGACTACTTTCTTATCAGTTTTTTTAGGATAGAACCCCATGTACCAGTTACTTTTTTAAAATCCTTACATATTTGATTTGCAATCAATTTCTGATGCATAAAGGTGGCATCGAGGTTAATATTTATGCATATTGGTGGTAGATTTTGAACGAAAAACGTTATCTTATGATCAAAGAGTTTATCTAGAATTTTCGAAACAGAAACATAACTTTTTCCAGAGTTCCCGCGCTTCAAAATTCAGAGCACCATAGTCAGTTTCCCAATCAGTTTATACTTGTTTTGATGGATTTTAGTATTTTATGTACTTTTATCTCTTCGGACAATTTATAAAGCTAAAATCACATACCGTAAACAAAACTAGGGATGGGCACGGTCCGGGACGGAACGAGATTTGGATGATCCCGGTACCTGTCCCGTTTTAGAATAACGGGTCAGGACGGGATAAGACATTTTCCTTTTTTTGTCCCTTTTAAACCGGTACCGGAACAAACCGGAACGGTTCGGGACGACCTGAAAAAAAAAACAGCAGCATAAGAAATTAAAAAAAAGCAGCCCACAAGAAAATTGCAGGAAAAAAGTGCACAAAAAATAGCAGGAAAAAACCTGCAGGATAAATGGCAGCAGAATAAATATGGCAGTACAAGAAAAAAATTACAAGATAAATGGCAGCAAAAGAATCTGCAGGATAAGTATAATAGCAGCACAAGAAAAAATCCTAAAACATGATACAACATATATAACAAATCTGTATGCAGCCTCAAGCCTACGGGTTAATTTATTGGAAGCATTTTATTGGGTTGCCATTTTATTGGGTTGCCACTAATACTAGTCTACTACTCCATATTATTTGGAAACGGGACAACGGGACGGGACATATTTTATCTCTCCCAGTCCTGTTCTATTTTAAAACGGTACGGGATCGGTACGAGACAAAAATAATTTGTCCCAATTGGACGAGACAAAACCGGAATGGGACCGGAACATTCCGGGACGGGCCAACGGGACCAGGTCTTTTGCCCACCCCTAAACAAAACTGTCTATAATTGGGTCAGTTTTAGTAAGATTCAGTTTTACTCAATTCGAACCAATCCAAATGAATTCTCATATATATCCACTCCTTTAAATTGTCCTAACAAGCCAAGTGCCAAAAACAATTTCATAAAGCAAAGATAAACTTGAAAGTGTAGCCGGGGTTCCTTTTATTTATTAAATACAACCAAAGATGAAAGTGAGTGGTACGTGACTCAGATAAAATTTGGTTGATAATTGGGCGTGTTGAATTTAATAATATTAATTGTAAGGGCAAGCATCACGTGAATTGAGAATAAATATATGTATTAAATTGTAACTAGAAACATAATGTACATCACCATTTTTTAACTTCAATCTAATTTAATCTGTTTTTTTCTTCTAAATTTTTTATCAAGATCAAAACCAATTCTCATTTCTCTCATGTGTTTATTTATATATATATATATATATATATATATATATATATATAGAAATCATCTCATCAGGCCGGCCTGACGGGCTGCCCCGTCCGGCCGAGCCCGTTTGGGCACCTTCCCGGTGGAATTTTTTGATGAAATTTTTTGAGCATGTTCCTCATCAAGTCTAGTTTGTCCATACCAAATTTCAGCTCAAAATTCGATCGGGAAGGTCGTCAAATGATTTTTGAAAGTTAACTGGTCCGGAATATGTATTTTCCGGACCAGTTAACTTGCAAAAATCATTTGACGACCTTCCCGATCGAATTTTGAGCTGAAATTTGGTATGGACAAACTAGACTTGATGAGGAACATGCTCAAAAAATTTCATCAAAAAATTCCACCGGGAAGGTGCCCAAACGGGCTCGGCCGGACGGGGCAGCCCGTCAGGCCGGCCTGATGAGAAGAGTACTCTATATATATATATATATATATATATATATATAGTCCCGATCCTGTCAGGCCGGCCTGACGGAAACCGCCGTCAGGCCAAGGCCATCAGAGGCCCTTCTCGGTGGAATTTTTTGATGAATTTTTTTGAGCATGTTCCTCATCAAGTCTAGTTTATCCATACCAAATTTCAGTTAAAATTTCAATCGGGAAGGCAGTCAAAAAAATTCCCTACTAAAACTGCGCAGTTTATATATAAATAATGCACAGTTTTAGTAAGGATTTTTTTTTTGACTGCCTTCCCGATTGAATTTTTAGCTGAAATTTGGTATGAATAAACTAGACTTGATGAGGAACATGCTCAAAAACTTTCATCAAAAATTCCACCGGGAAGGTCCCAAAATGGCCTCGGCCTGACGGCGGTTCCCGTCAGGCCGGCCTGATACGATCTGTCCTCTCTCTCTCTCTCTCTCTCTCTCTCTATGTATATATATATATATAGGAATGTTCAGGTCCGAACATTCCTGGTCCGAACACCGTCCGAACATGGACGTTTGGGGCCCTTCCCGGTGGAATTTTTTGATGAAATTTTTTGAGCATGTTCCTCATCAAGTCTAGTTTGTCCATACCAAATTTCAGCTCAAAATTCGATCGCGAAGGAATTCAAATGATTTTTTGAAGTTGACTGCGTCAAAATATACATATATAAACGCAGTCAACTTCAAAAAAATGATTTGAATGCCTTCCCGATCGAATTTTGAGCTGAAATTTGGTATGGACAAACAAGACTTGACGAGGAACATGCTAAAAAAATTTCATCAAAACATGCCACCGGGAAGGGCCCCAAACGGAGATGTTCGGACGGAGGATCCTGTCCGAACGTTCGGACAGGATCATTTTTGTATATATATATATATATATATATATATATATATATATATATATATATATATATATATATATATTGGGAACTCTTCCGGTAAGGTATACCTTACCGGAGCCTCCGTGCGGCCTCCACGTTTTGAGGGCCTTCCCGGTGGAATTTTTAGATGAATTTTTTTGAGCATGTTCTTCATCAAGTCCAGTACATCCATACCAAATTTAAGCAAAATATTCAATCGGGAAGGCAGTCAAATGATTTTTGGAAGATAACTGCATCCTTTATATACATATAAAACGCAGTTATGTTCCAAAAATCGTTTGGCTGCCTTCCCGATTGAATTGTTTGCTGAAATTTGGTATGGATGTACTAGACTTGATGACGAACATGCTCAAAAAATTTCATCGAAAAATTCCACCAGTAAGGCCCTCAAAACATGGAGGCCGCATAGCGGCTCCAGTAAGGTTTACCTTACCGGAAGATTTTCACATACATACATACATACATACATACATACATACATACATACATACACACACACATATATATATATATATGGATGAGTTCAAATGAGAAGACATCAAAAAGTGCATCAGATAATTAATGTCTATTCAAAAGTGCATCAGATAGAGGTTATTGTGCATCAGAACGACACTTTGGACGGCTGAGATTAATTTTCATTTTACACGTTAAGATGTCTTCTCATTTGAATTCATCCCTACACACACACACACACACACACACACGCACACACACACATATAGAGTAGTGTTCTTGTCAGGACCTCCAAAAACGGACCTCCGTACGGACCTCGGCGTTTGGGCCCCTTCCTGGTGGAATTTTTTGATGAAATTTTTTGAGCATGTTCTTGATCAAGTCTAGTTTACCCATACCAAATTTCAGCTAAATATTCCATCTGAAAGGCAGTCAAATGAGTTTTTGAAGTTAACTGCGCACTTTATATACATATAAAATGCAGTTAACTTCCAAAAATTATTTGACTGCCTTCCCGATGGAATTCTTATCTGAAATTTGGTATGAGTAAACTAGACTTGATGAAGAACATGCTCAAAAAATTTCATCAAAAAATTCCACCGGGAAGGGACCCAAACGCCGAGGTCCGTACGGAGGTCCGTTTTTGGAGGTCCTGACATGAACTTTCCTCTCACTCTCTGTATATAAGTATGTATGAATTTCTTATTGGAACATCGCACAGGGATACACACACGCATTGGTCATTATATACCATTTCCAATAACAGTGAGAATGATTATACTCCGTATTTTAGAGCTTTTTCAATAGTCGTATATAATAAAAGTAGTAATTTATTCCGTAGGAGAATTTTGCACGTACGTATTCAATATAGAATTTGCCTCAAATAGGACTAAAATAATTCAAAAATTCCAAAATAGGACTTCTTATAATTTTATTCCCTGAATAGGAGTTATTAATTGAATGATCCATTTCTATTCCGTGTTTGCCCCTCTTTCCAGCTGCTACGCAAATAATTCCGTCGGTATCTCAGACTCTCCATCCATCAATTTTATTCATTTTCTCCTCTACCCCACACCCACATCCCCTGTTCCATTTTTCCTGCCGACCTACTCCCCTCCATCTTCTCTCCTTTCTCATCTAATAATTCATCTCTATCCTTTCTCATCTCATAATTCATCTATCACATGCTTGGACGTAATAATTTTTTCCCCAATTTCTCCATGTGTGTCTGCTTATAAATATTTGGATGGTGAATCTGCGCATCTCCGGCGACCGCCGATGGGCGGTGGCGAAAATGTTGGTAAGTCTACTTGATGTGCTTCTTTCCTCTTCTTCTCCTCTTTCTATTCATCCTCTTTCTCCTTTCTTATTCTTCTCAGATTAATTAAGCACAAAAACTCCTTTTTGAAATTTGAACAAAGACCATATGGTTGGTTAATTTACTAACTTTACTCCTTCAATTTATTCCTCCTATTGTAGAGATTTAATATTGTATTTATGAGATTTTAAATTTTCTTTGCTTCAAGTATCCTTTGTCTTTCCAGATCTGTTTATATTGGAGACTTTTTTATTTCTTCTCTTTTTTCTCTTTCAACTTTTCTTTCTACTTTTGTTCTTTTGGCTTTTTTATTTGGTAAAATATAGATAATAAATTTACATTGTTCTTGTAACTTTTTAGAATTCATTTTTCAATTTAAATATGAAATTTCCATAATCCCTAATTTAAAGTGATTTTTATGGTATTAAGATGTGAAATTATTATTTGATCGATAATGCCATTTTTATTACATTAATTCCATCAAGATGGCTAATAAGTCCATTTTTATTACATTAATTCCATCAAGCTGACTTAACCATTTTTATTACATTAATTCCATCTAGATGGCTAATAATGCCATTTTTATTACATTAATTCCATCCAGATGACTAATAATGACATGTTATTACTTATATAAATATGTTATTTTTACACCTAGTGTCATTCATATGACATTAAATTTGTTATGATGGCAATATTATTCTCATTACAAATATAACATTTATAATGTCATGAAAATCTGAAAATGACAATAATAATAACATATCCTTTATTTTAATGAAATTTATAGCAGAGGCAAAGGTAGTTGTGGAGATGGTGGCGGAGGCGCCGCCAAGAAGCGTCCGGTGTATGGCAGCAACGTCGGTCAGTGGTGGAAGAGGCGACTCTGATGATGACATTGGTGGCGGTGACAGGTGGTAGAGCCACCAGCGGCAGAGGCAAACGACGCGGCGGTAGAGGCAGACGACGCGGCGGCGGACGACGACGCGGCGGCGGCGGCAGCGGACGACGCGGCGGCGGCAGCGGACGACGCGGCGGAGGCAGTAATGGATGATGGACCGGCGGCGGCAGAGTAGGTGTTTATTGGCCCGAGGGTTGTGTCCGCGATTGTCTGTTGTACATGTACTGTTTATTTTATATATTTTGATTTAAAATATTAATAACAAATGAGGTGCAGATTCATTAAGGGCATTTATGTCAGGTCATCCTTTTTTACTTCCAAGAAACTTTACGGAAAGCTCAAGTCCTATTTGTGCATAATTCTTACTTTTTAATCCTATATAGGTAATTATCTCTATTCAATAGTACATAATAATGGTTTAGTAATCAAATATAATCATAATAAGAACCCATGAAATCATAGTAAAACTTTAATCGAAGGAAGAGTGCAGTACGTATTAATTACTGCCTATTACATTTGACATTTCAAAGTCAATGTTTGTTGATTTTCCCTGATCGATATTCCAACTTAATCGGGGTTGATTATGGATACAGAATACTACGTATATAACACGGTGTACAGTAGAGTAATTGATCACCTCAAGTCCTCAAATAATAATAACATAACTGATCACCTCAAGTCCTCAAGTAATAACATAATTGATCACCTCAGGGGCTTTCGAGCTTAATTCGTTGATAAAATTTTATGAGTATGTTCTTCATAAAATGTAGATTATGTTCACTAAATTCTAGCTAAAAATTCAACCGGTAAGTCAGTTAAATGAATTATTGAAAAAAGTACAGTTATGCCAAAATGTATATAAAAACACAGTGTTTTCATAATTCGGTGTCAAGGCCACATCAGTTATTCCACAATGTTAGCCGCGTCGGTGATCAGTTTTATAACTCCGTGTGCGAAATCAAGTTAACATTTGCTAAAAATAGATTATATATAGAGTGATGAGCCCAATTAGATCTATCTAGTAGTGCTTTAGGGTCTGTTTATTTATTTTTCTATTAAGTCTAGTTGAATTAAGACTTCTGTCTAGATTAAGTGATAGTTGTATTTGAGGTTGTTTATTTGTATGTTGTTGATTAAACCGTCTGAATCGAGTAAAAATAATCAATCTAGTATTATTCTTACATTATAATGTCAATGAAAAACTTAGATCGTCAACCGAATGATTAAATCGTCATTCCCATGCTTTTAGTTAGAGTGTTGTTAGTTCGAAAGCAAACCAAATCAGACTTAACCAAATCAAATCGGTCCTTAAACAGATTAGGGTTTGTGCGTACTATAATCAAAGCTGCCGTAGTGCCATACCCCCACTCCATGATAAAGGTCGATTGATGAACAGTAACTCATAGCAATTAAAGAGCGCTAAATGACATTGAAACAGTTTTAACCGTTAAAGCTAGCCAGCACTTAGAAAAGCCAAGTTCTGACCTCTGATCGAGATGCTCGATATTTCCATGAACTTACAGGTGTTCACAAATTTACCATTTAACACTGTTATAATCAATCTTTAATTCTTTAAAATGTCATTTTACCAGACTTTCGGCCATTACTTTTAATTTGATTGCAAGAAAAGCCTTATTCTCGCACTACCGGCCGGATTAGTGAAAGAAACAAAGTGTAAAGTAATAACATACTTCGTGTAAATAGAAAAACGCTTTTCACGATGAGAGAAAACCCTAGCGGGCGGCGGCGTAGAATAACGCAGATCGATTGATCATCGATTATTGAAGCAGGGCTGGCGACATGGGTGGCCAGATGGGAACTCCTTAGGGTATGCTCGAGTACCAGGGCAGAGCCAGACTAGAGTGCAAAGGGGGCGGGATATAATACAAATATAAAAACATAATCTAGGGTGAACAAAAAGTATTCCAAAATTATATGTTGCCGGCGTCGAATTTTAAGTCATAAAGTGTACTTTCTAGTGAACAACTTCTAAAATTACAATACTTATACGAAGTATTAGATACAACTTACAAGACCGGAATTACAAGAGCGTAAAGTTGCACGACTAGTAACGGTCATAGCCAAAAGTTACGAAATTAAAAATGCAAATCTTTCTACGAAATATAAATATATTGTACCAATATGAAATAATACACCAATACTAATATTCATGTATAATATTCAAATTAAAAATTAACTGAATGTCGAATTTTTTTGAACATATTAACTGCATGTCAATTAAAACTTAGTTTGTGAATTTTTCACATGATTTATACATTTGCTAATAATTTCGAATTAATAAATTTCACTAGAGTTTTGGCTTTTATACCAAGTAATTATTACTTACTATTACGTATTTGATGGTCCCTGATAGAGGCAAAGGTCTGGGGGGGGGGGGGGGGTGAATAGACTTTTAATGCTTTTTCAATTTTAAAAACTTTCCCAACTAGATATGATGATCTTTGTGAGATTAAAGATACACATCCGAAGTCTTGACCTCTATGTAAACAGTATTATGACAACTTTCTATTTAGTATGTGGACAAAGAAGAAGTCTGAAGGCCAGTCAGATAAGTTTCATGACCTTAAAGGAACTCAGGTGGAGTGTTTGAGTGAGATTTGAACTTTTCTATGAAGGCAGTCGACTTGGCAGTTTAGTAAGCAGTGGACTAAGTAGTGAGGTAAGGGTAGAGTACTGCTGAGACTACTGCGAAGGAAAGTTTATAATTTTGAGACTTCTGTTTGGATTAGGATATTGATGAGGAGTGTAGAGGACTTCTAAAACATTGAGACCTCTTTTAAGAAAGTGTTTAGCCAAACAATTTACTTAGTAGTAGGGTGAGCAGTAGAGTGGGTAGTAGACTGCTGCTGAGATGACTGCTCAAGCTACTGCTTGATTAAAAAGTGTTTGGTGTATGCCTTGTTGACTGAAAATAAATCAACACACGATGTATCCTGGTTCAGAGGTGGTGTAATCCTACTACGTCCAGTCCCACCCTCTTTCAGATGGATTTCCACCAATGTATTAAGCTCAATACACTTAGTGTCAATCTGGCTGTAACCACACAATTAGCCTGGATTGAAAGGTGTTTCACTAGGAGTACACACCACTCCAAGTTACTCAATCCTTAGATTTTCTCAATTGATCTAGTGGGGATCAAAATGTACTCTATTCTATTCATCCATACTTAGGACTAGATAACACCGCCCTTCTAAGTGTTTACAACAATTTGTGATATAACAAAAATTCTAGCCTCCAACTAAGAACTAAACTCCCAGAATGTAGCAATGTGAATTCTAACTTGGATGTTTAGTGAAGCATGAGTCTAAGCAGAGAGTAAAGTTTGAATCAAGCACTTTCTCTTTTGCTAGATATCTCTTGGATGCTCGGTATGATTTACTCTGCTTAGAAGGTTCTCAAAAACTTGGTTTTCAACTCATGCTTATGCCTGTATTTATAGGCATCTCCGGTTGATTAATCTCCTCCGTTGGTTGGGAGGATTTAATCTTTGACGTCGGATGTATTGTACTTTCGTCTTCTTGTGTTGGAGCAGTTTATGATCTTCTCAGAGCTGCATTAGGATCCATTTGCAAGGTTATCTTCAGGATACAATATGCGAACCCATACCTTAGGCCTTTATGCACTATTCATATTTTTGGCTTTGCTTGCAACTATATGCGTAGTGTGTTTGTACCGTGTATTTGTCTATACCGTGTTCTAATTAGAATTTTAGCAAGTTTGTGACTTTAGCCTTTTTGTATCAAATAAATTTGTACTGGTAGAATTTGAATATCCTTTTTAAGGTAAAAGAAAATTACCTTATTGCATTTTATATTTCCAGTGCAATTTATTTGGTACAAAATTTGTACATTTTGATTTGTCACAATGGACCGTTTGAAAGTGACTTGTTTAATCTTTTTATCAAATAAAGTTATACTGGATGGATTTAAATATCCTTTTTAAGGTAAACAAAATTTACCTTATTGCATTTTATATTTCCAGTAAAACTTTATTTGGTACAAAAATTGTACATTAGTAATTTGTCACTTTGATACAGATTTAGCTCATTTCATACCTTTTTCTCTTTTTGTTTCTTTTGTTCATGGCACAGTTTCTCTTTTTAGCACTCTTTGCTTTTTATGAGTACTTTTATCCACTAAATTAGGAGCATATTACAATTACATAACTTGAAACAAGAGTAGATAAGTTACTACAGGAATAAAGGTCTAATCCAAAAATAGGGTGGCATCATCAAAACTATTTCATTGAATATCAAAGTCTAGGGTACCTAACAGTATTACTCCCCCCATATTGTAAAGTTTGCTACACTTTCGTTTTTTGGATGTATCTAAAAGTTTGCTACACTTTCCCATTTAGGCAAATTTTTTTCTTTAAAAATACCCAATTACCCTTAATTTTTCTACATTTTATCATCTCTTTCATACTTTTCCATCTTCTCTCCTACTTTTTCCACACTATTCATTACCCCTACTATTTTACTCTTAAATCTTGTGCCCAAACCTATTGTAGAGAACATTGGAATACAGAGGGATGGAGTACAATAATTGATAACAAAAACTATTAGTATTATTTGGTAACTAGTGTTTCACAATTTTATTTGGACGGGGGCAAAAAAGAATATAATATAATATTAGTACTTAGGAAAAATAAAAAAAATGGGGAGGGGCCATCCCCCTTAGCTTAACATGTTGTTCCGTCCCTGTCGAGTACTGACAGCGTATGAAGGTAAGGTCTTATGGTCAAATTAGGATGTTTTTACTTGGACTGTAATTTGCTGGTCTGGTCTGATCTAATCTGGTCTGGTCTGAACTGGTCTGAACTGGTCTGGTCTGGTCTGGTCTGGTTTCTTTGTATTTTTATAATTACCTAAGTCTGGTCTGGTCTGGAATGGTCTGGTCTAGTCTAGGACAAATTATAGTCCAAGTAAAAACATCCTTAGTCGTGTTCGGCACTTTGGCTGCCGAGAGTTTGCATTGCGTTCCGTTTATAAACGCTTGGTCATGAGCAGTCTTGTGTCGATAGCTTTGTGTAGTCCATTTTTGAGTGGCCTGTTTTTTCTCAATGGAGAAAATAGTTGAAGAATATGGAAAGATGTCATTTGAGGAGGAAGAAAATAGTGATTTGGTGTTTGAATCTGGAGCGCTGAATATTAATAGTGTTGGGGGTGTCTCGAAAAACAAAGAAAATTAATTAAAATGACTAAAGAAAAACAGATTAAAAGATGAAGCAGAAATTAACCAAAGCTCGTGTTATGCACGATGTCCTTAAAATGTATTCGTTGTCTCCCTAGGTGCTAGGAGCGTTGCAACGATCGTTTCCTAGGATACGATGACT